AGGGGGGAAAATACAATGAAGTTTGGTTATTGGGGCTTGGAAAAGATATAGCTCACATGAGGGCGAAAAAGTTCCAATGTTGCAATCCTCCCATATATTGGAACATCCAACATAGGCTGCAAGGCAGATGTTGCTAGTGAGGCACGGGTCATGTGACCAAACCAAGGAATATAACTTCAAAATAATAACCATTCAGAGTTTTCAATTCTTACATTGCGGTCAATTATTGATAACTAGACAAAGATATAAACTTACTTACATCGACTAGAATGCTATTTACATAACCTATTCAACTTCAAATTAAGATAATTGAGAATATCTGAAAACAGATGTATAACGAAATAAAATTTCAAAGCCAAAAATAAGAAAAAGAAAATTTCACAGCTTGTTCAACTTCAAACTAAGATAAATGAGAATATCTAAAAATAGATTTAAAATAAAATTTCAAAGCCAAAAAGAAGAAAAGGAAAATCTAAAACCCCTAAAACTGAAACTTCTTCAGTTCCCCATAACTAAAATCATAAAAGATGAATCAAAAGCAAGAGAAAGAAAGGTAATACCTGTAAGCCTTGAGCAGTGAGCAAATGAATTTCAATGCGGGTACATTTCCTGAGACCCAGATTTAGGTGTGAATAAATTCATCAGCATTGCATAGCATAAAGTAAATTACAACGACAATAAGAAAACTTATACAACAATGAAATCCCCGGAACCAAAATCTGAAGCATCTGTAGTGGTCGTTCCATTCTCAACATACAATCATTAAACCATAAAACATAAACGCCTTATCGTGTACATACCGTAAATGTACAACGACAAAATAGACCGGACCAGATGGAGAAGGAATTCATTGTAAAAATGATGAACAAAGGTGCATTAGCGGAAATCAACGAGCCAAGAAAATTAAGAACCTAAACTTCTAAACTTATTCTGCCCAATTTGATGTTCCAAGGGTAAGAAAGAACATAATTCGGAGTAGCTTGGATAATTACCAATTTCCATACAATCCTAAAGACTGAAAGAAAACCCTAGCTCCTCGTTCGAGTATCAGCACAAGAGAACTCCTAAAAATCAAAGTAACAACTAACCGGAAAAACAAAATCGAACTTGATGGAGAAAAAAGCAACAGATTAAGGAAGTAACATTCACGAACAACACGCAATCCAAAAACAAACATTTCAAGAACACGCAAATGTATGGATTAGAGACCGAGAAAAGTTCGATCACGGAAACGGAGGAAAAGGGGGGGGCATACGCTATAATGAGGTTGAGCTCCTGTGGACCGGTGAAGTTGCCGACGCAGGAATGAGTGACGTTGGTGGGCTTGTGAGCGGTGACGACATAGTTCCAGACGCTCATCTTCGACCTCTAATCGCCTCTGCGATTGTTCCGTCTGCAAAAGCCTACCCTAACCCTTGCCGCTTGCGCTTCACGTCGGTTTTTCGAGGTTTATTGGGCAATGGCAGCGCTGATGCCCGTGGTTCAATAGTCCGGGCAAAGAATCACTTCATCTCCATAAGTATTTGCCACCTGTCACAATCACACAAATTTTTTTTTTTTTTGTTTGTTTTTATTTTCCGGTAAAGTATAAGTTAGGGGTATACATTGAACCAGACCATTAGGACTGACCACACCTGAATTACAGGAGTTGGGTTGGGTTAATTTTTCTGAACATGAATAGATTCGGTTTGGTTACTAGTTCATTTGACAAAACCTCAAGTTAACCCGAACGGAATAAAATTTTACAAAATATATTACGTTATGTTACGTAATTCCATTTTGAAAAGAGAAGCAGGCTGGTTTTGAAGTTCTCGAAAATGAAGATTCCTTAACTCAAATTTCAGCCGGCTAAAATAATTGATCAATATAACCTAATTTTGTTCAAATAACTCGAATAACTCGAATCCAATTCATAAATTGGCCGGTCTTTTCAAGGTTTGAATTTTCAATTCGCATATTAAAATTATTTAGGTTAGTTCAGATTCAAACAATACTGTTCTCTAAGTTTCCAACCCTCCTGAAGCCTCTTTTTACGTTATTAAAGGCAATTGAGGTCAGTAAAACTCCCATTTACTCAATTTTAGATAGCTTTAGAACTTATATTGGGTATAATCATCGTGTTTAGCTAGATTAAGATGCGGATATGTCCTAAGTATGTGATATGGATTGACATAGGTGAAATTAGACATTGAAGTATAGTCTCGAAGCAGCTACAGAGTAGTTAGAAATTTCGGCCAAAGTCAACCAAGTAACTGACCTCACTATTAGAGTTAGATAATTGAATGATGTATGATAGTGCATGCCTTGTAGTCCATGCATGCACCATATTATTTTATGTTATGCTTATGTGCTCTATGTATCGACATATGATATTATGCTATGTATGCTAGAGATATTCATTACACCATGTTATGAATGAAATGAAATGTTATGTATGCCATGTAAAGCTATGTGATAGATTATGTGATAATTGTCATGTATACATAATGCATATATGTAATATGTCATGGATGAAATGAGAGAGGGAATGATGTTAATGCTAGGTTATGAATGTAAATCATGGGGATCTCATGCGTCTATGTATGTCATGTGTTCTGGGATACTTCTTCGTTATATTATGTTAGTATGGATGCGTACCTTCGATATTTATGTTCGACATGATATCATGCAAAAATTTCCTTTTATGTGGTGTCCAACAACGTGTAACGTGTTCAACCAAGTTAGACCCAAGGGGTACGTATACGAGGCCGCCTAGTGGGTCCATGTGCACGTATGTGGACCATGTGGGGAAGTATCGTACATCCAACCCTGCCCGAAACTAGGAAGAGCCTAAGGTCATGTTACTGTTTTAAAAGATAGATCTCAATTATGTTATATGTGTAATTGCATTATTGACCCTAGTTATATGTGTGATTACATTACTCACCCGGCAGTGAGGTTGTGATGTCCCACATTGGTTGGGGAGGAGAACAAATCACCCTTTTGTAAGGGTGTGGAAACCTTCCCCTAGCAGACACGTTTTAAAGCCTTGAGGGGAAGCCCAAAAGGGAAAGCCCAAAGAGGACAATATCTGCTAGCGGTGGATCTGGGTCGTTACAAATGGTATCAGAGCTAGTCACCGGACGATGTATCAGCCTTCTCGCTGTTCCTCGAAGGGGATTGACACGAGGCGGTGTGCCAGTAAGAACGTTGGGCCCCAAAGGGGGGTGGATTTGGGGGCGGTCTTACATCGATTGGATAAAGGAACGAGTGTTAGTGAGGACGCTGGGTCCCAAAGGGGGGTTGATTGTCATGTCCCACATTGGTTGGGGAGGAGAACAAATCACCTTTTATAAGGGTGTGGAAACCTTCCCCTAGCAGCGTTTTAAAGCCTTGAGGGGAAGCCTGAAACAAATCACCCTTTATAAAACAAATCACCCTTTATAAGAGTGTGGAAACTTTCTCGTTTTAAAGCCTTGAGAGGAAGCCTGAAACAAATCACCCTTTATAAGGGTGTGGAAACCTTCCCCTATTAAAGCCTTGAGGGAAGCCTGAAACAAATCACCCTTTGTAAGGGTGTGGAAACCTTCCCCTGGCACGCCCTTTATAAAACAAATCGCCCTTTATAAAACAAATCACCCTTTATAAGGGTGTGGAAACCTTCTCCTGGCAGACGCGCCCTTTATAAAACAAATCACCCTTTATAAAACAAATCACCCTTTATAAGAGTGTGGAAACTTTCTCGTTTTAAAGTCTTGAGGGGAAGCCTTAAAGGGAAAGCTCAAAGAGGATAATATCGTTACAGAGGTAACTTACTCTAGGTGTGGAAACCTTCCCCTAGCAGACAGACGCTCGAAAGGGAAGCCCAAAGAGGACAACTTTGAGTGTGGAAACCTTCCTCTAGCAGACGCCCAAAAAGGGAAAGCCCAAAGAGGACAACTCTGGGTGTGGAAACCTTCCCTTAGCAGACGCGTTTTAAAGCTTGAGGGGAAGCCTGAAAGGGAAAGCCCAAAGAGAACAATATCTGCTAGCGGCGGATCTGGGTCGTTACAGATAACTTACTGAATATATCTTAAAATTACTTAAATCACGTGCTACTCTTATATTTTTCATGTAAAGGTAAAACTCTCATGCACGAATGACGGTGAATGCTATAAAGGTCAAAGAAGTCAAGATGGGAGAGTAAAATGCATTGTTTATGGTTGACGGTGAATGCTATAAAGGTCATAGAAGTCAAGATGGGAGAGTAAAATGCATTGTTTTACATTTAGTAGTTAAAAGGCGGTTTCTTTATATTTCATGTTAAAATATTTAAATCACGTGCTACTCTTATATTTTTCATGTAAAGGTAAAACTTTCATGCATCGATGACGATGAATACTATAAAGGTCATAGAAGTCAAGATGGGATAGTAAAATACATTGTTTTACATTTAGTAGTTAAAAGGCGGTTTCTTTATATTTTTAAGTTAAAAGACTGTTATTTCAAATTTCTCATTTATTAATTAAATGTGTAAGTACCCGACTTCATTTTAGCATGTTTTAAATGTACGTAGTGATATTACCAATTTAAAATAAGAAAATTAAGGCGTTACAAATAGATTCTTAGTAAAAAATTTATATGAGATTTTAGCTATTATTACGAGTTAAAAAAAAAAAGGTATTTTGAATAATTAAGAAAAAAAGTATACATAATTAACAACGAAACAACCAAATTGAACTGAATCAAGAACGGACACGCAATTCTTTCGGGTGGTAGAAACCAACTCACTCGAATTTTTTAGTCGGTCTAAAAATTCTCTCCAATCCAATCCAATCCAACCGGTGTACGCCCCTATTCCAACTTTTAATTTTTATTTTAAATTGTGGGTTGGGAGGGGAAAAACAAAGGAGGGTGAAAAAGGTAGGTAAAAGGTGGGAAAATAGAATTTATTATTTTATTTTATTTTTTATTTTTTTTAAAGGATGGGAATGGATAAAAAAAGAATAAAAAATATTAAAAAAACAGCTGTCAATCTTCGTTCCCCCTCCCTCCCCGTCCTCTCGCTAACCTCCTTCTTCTCCTCCTTTAACCCTCAGAATTTCTCTCCACAAAAAACCCTAACCTTCCCTTTCTCACATTCCCCCAAAATCCAGCCTCAATCCCGGTTGAATGAATCTTCTCCGCCGCCGCCTCCTCCTCCATGCAAGCTTTTCCCTCTCCCAACCATGCCTTTTAGCCGCTCAATGCGCTCCCATTCCCTCACCAATCCGCCTCCATTAGCCGAGAGAATCACCGAAGAGCCAATCACCAACAAAACCGCTCAGAGTACCGTCACCTGCTTCTACCAGGCCAGCATCTCCGGATTCTGGCGCAACGTCACCGTCCTCTGGTGCAAGAATTTGATGAATCATACTCTAACCATCACAATCTCAACTCTCGAAGGCGATTTCCATTGTAATTACAAGATCGACATCAAGCCTTGGCAATTTTGGAGCAAAAAAGGTTTCAAATCCCTAGAATTAGACGGTAATCAAATCGATATCTATTGGGATGTCCGTTCCGCCAAATTCTCCACCGGTCCTGAGCCTTGCTCTGATTTCTACGTCGCCTTGGTTGCTGATGAGGAGGTCGTATTGCTCTTAGGCGATTACAAGAAAAAGGCTTACAAACGGACGAAATCGAGACCTGCGCTTGTGGAAGCACTTTTGATTTACAAGAAGGAGAACGTTTTCGCGAAGAAATGCTTCGCTACGAGAGCGAGATTCGACGAACGCCGGAAGGAATGCGACATTGTGGTGGAGATTTCCGCTTCCGGTGCGAAAGATCCCGAGATGTGGATCAGTATCGATGGGGTTGTAATGGTTCAGGTCAAGAATTTGCAGTGGAAATTCCGGGGCAATCAGACGGTTGTGGTTAACAAGCAGTCGGTTCAAGTCCTGTGGGACGTTCACGATTGGCTGTTTAGTACTCCGGGTACGGGTCATGGGTTGTTCATTTTCAAACCCGGCCCACCCGAGTATGAGAGCGATAAGGAAGGCAGCGGCCGCGGCGTCGGCGTCGGCGGTGGTCCGGAGGGGAGCGAGGACGGCAGTGTTTATTACTCGACTCGGAGCATGAACTCGTCTCACCTGGCGGATTTCTGCCTTTTTCTTTACGCCTGGAAATTGGAATGATTAATTTAAAAAATAATAATCAAACAAAAAAAAAGAAAAGAAAAGAAAAGAAATTCAAAATTCCGAAACTAGAGATTGCACGTACTAATTAATTAATTAATTAATTGATTGATTGATTAATTAAAGTATTGTGCATGTCACGTGACTTCTCCGTATATATGTACGTATGTATGTATATATTGACATGTTGACCATGCTTTTCTCGAACAAAAACGTCTTAGAAAAAAGGACCTCTTGACCATTGTGAATTACGTGTAATCGAGTTTATATCAAATGTATAGATTTGTTTCAATAAATTTATGATTGTGAGACGGGAAAATTTCTAATATATATTGATGTAAAGTCTAAACTTTATTCGTAAAATAATACGAAGCATGACGTATGAGCATTTTAAGGCTTAAATCACGAGAATATTACAAATTAAGTTTTGTTCTAGTATTTTATTTTCGTCTTTTAACTTTATAGTAAAATAATAATAATAATAATAATAATAATAATTTCGGTTAATATTTATATATATTGTTTAATAAAAACGGAAAAATGGCACATTCTTTTGTTCATTTATTCGCGTAAATATCATTATTCAAAATGATAGATATAACAGCTTAATTCCACCGTGCAGACATTGTATGCTTTGACTCGTTATGTAAAGTTTTCACACCCTTACCAAGAATGTTGTTGTTTCTATAATGGCTTTAGATTTTTGCTAATCTAAAATCGCATAAATAATCATTTAAAAATATATTCATTAAACAATGTTCATAGACTTGTTTTCAAATAAAGGTCTTAAAGCGATGCAAACGAAATATTAAATAAACGAAATAAATTGAAATGAACATGCCCTATACTAACCTATGGTCTAATAATTTAAATATCACTATCATATGCATGTGCTATGGTCTTTACTTGCAATGTTGTCGTTAGCCGTACAGAGGTGCATTGTATGTACCTGAACAATAGAAGTAGCACACAACTTGGGTATTTTAAAAAATACTCCGTAAGTGACCTCTCTATTGGGGTCATGGAATGCAAACATATGCAACTCATGATTCATAGAGGTGCGCTCCAGTTCAAACAAAATTGAATGCGTAGTACTTCCTTACACATGCCCCACATGTGCAAGCGTGAGTCCCCAGGCGGTTCGCACCCCCTAGGCCCATCATAGTTGGGCTAGTTGTCCGTAGCCAAAAGTTCAGAGGCCAATAAACATTTGATTATTATTCAAGGCATGATGATGAGATCATCATAATGTACGCGTCTATACTCATCATCATGAATGGGGAAGTAACTCGATGTATATGAACATACAATATACATGAGGTCCTTATATTTTTCATTTTAAATCATTCTTATGACACAACCCTATACATCATTCACATATTACTCTAGGTAACATGCATGCATTGGCCTTTATACGTTCATCATCATTACCGTTTAGGGTTGTCTCTTAGAATACTCTTCATCATAGTGCATTATGACATTTAGTGCATGCACATCATCTTAATATGAAATATTATCATATTAAGTCATATCATCATCATGCATCTTATATCATCATGTTATCATGCATCATCTCATTATGTCATCATATCATTATATCACCATCATCATCATATCATCATATAACATCATATAACATCATCATATCATCATAGTACATAAAGCATAAATGACACGTGCAAGGGTCACTGAACTTGTGTCGTCATACATAAGTCAAGTCTTCCGATCGCGCCGATATTAAGGCCAACGCCAAAATTCTATCTAGCTCTAAATTTGTTTGCTTTCATCCTTCTCTCACTTATGTGGAGACTTCACCTATTTTGAGTATTCACTTAATTTCCTCCGTAAAAATCAAATTTCATGTTTTTATTGGTTTAATAATACATTCTACTTTTGAGGGTTGGTTGAGAAGAGATATTTGAAGGAAGGGACGCAGAGGTGAGGGAAGTTTGGGAATGGTTGTTTAAAAAAACTTAACTTTTTTTTTATTATTTTTATTTATTTATTTCTTATTTTACTTGGGTTATTACATCATATACCTCTGAAAAATCTTGAAATAACCTGGGTCCTTGCCTATCTAGAGATATTTATAGCCTAGAACGTACATGAAGTCAGTCTAGTATTTATGAAGCGTGGATACGTGACATATGTTATAGCCTAGAACGTACATCAAGTCATCTCGAATACAACTTTCTCCATTTCCATTAAGGTGGCTTGCTTTCTTCTTTTAACATTTTTTTTATAGGGTTAACCCCTTTTGGTACCTAGCTTTATAGCGAAGATATTGGTCCGAAGTTTTGAGTTCTTATCCCTTAGACACTCTCTCTAAGAGACTTGTGGGGTCCTATGCTCAGTGAACAACTCAATCTTGACTTGTGCCCGTGGCTTCATGTGTTCCCCGCTACATAGTCTAATACTCGCATCCAAGGTTTCATGCGTTTCGTGTGATACAATCACGTACCTATGTCCAATGCTTCATGTGTTCCTTGCAACATTGTCTGAGTACCTATGCCCAGGGCTTCATGTATTCCCTGCAACGTAGTCTGTGTCATAGGACCATGTTGCACCTTTCACTGGGAGATTTTTAGAATCTCTCAGGTTCTAGTTCTAAGAGTTCTTTGTTATGTCTTGAAGCACAACTAAGGAAAAATTATTAACTGTTGGCTTTTTGGCCTTGATCTCACTTTAATTAATTTCAATCAATTAATTGATGTTTTGATGATAACAAACCTACTTTTTAATTATTAATTATTTTCAGTATTTTGAACTGTCCAACAGTATAAGGTCGGGAATAACAATTTCAACGACTTTTCAATTACTCAAATCAGAGCTAAAACGAAGAAATTACAGTCGAGACAACATACCCGACGTGATGATGTGGCAGCAAAATCAAAATGATGGACAAATCAAGATATATCAAAGTATGACATTTATGATTTTTGGAGAGTAACAAATGGTGGAGTTTTTCTTATTACTATATTTTTAAATAAAGTTATTTTTACAAAATATAAATTTGAATCTAACCGTTACTCACATCGATTTTTATTATTACTATATTATATTATTATATTATTATATTTTAAAATTTTGGTGGTTACTCACATAGTTTTTATTATTATTATATTATTATATTTATAATAAATTTTGAATTTCATTTGACCGTTACTCACATAACTTTTTATTATTATTATATTATATTACTATTATATTAAAATTTTGAAATAAATGAATTTAGAAAATTTTCTTACTTATTTACTTTTAATCTCCACCTTCCATTATTCCTAACACAATCCAATGGTCAATATTCAATCCTACATTTTGCCACTTTTCTCCTCTATATAAACTCATCTTCCCCACATTTTAAAATACACAACTTACATACATTCTTCAATCCTCATTTGTTCAAAGTCTCCATTGTTTGTTGCTCTCTCCAAGCTTACAAGTTTATTTCTTTTCATCTTATTCTTGAGAGGGATTATTATTATATTGTGAGGAAATAGTTGTCAGTATCCCAAATTGTAAATCTACTCTTTGAG